CCAAGACTCTTGACAGCTGGAGCTTTGTCAAGCAGCAGTCATAGAGGTCTGGGCATCGCCACATCCTCACAATCTTTGCTACGCTTGAGCCCATCGCTGCAGCCGCTGTGTACTATCCTCCTAAGGCAGTATTATTATTCCCATTTTCTGGATGAGGAACAGGGGCTTGAAGAAGCTAGGTCACCTGTGCTGAATTGCAAAGAAGCCTAAGTGGCAAAGCTAGGACTTGAATTCAAGTCTGCCCATTTTCAGTCCACAGACCTGTGGACTCTGTCTGTGCTCTGTTCTGTTGGGTCAGGCATCAAAGAGGTCAAAATGAGAGGCTTTGTCTGTCAGTGGCAGCAGAAGAAAAGTCTTTTTTGACAGCAGACCTCAGATGCGTTTTAAGACATACCATTGTCAGCCAGGCATGTTTTCCTCCTGAGACTCTTGGCACTAGCTGACTCCAACTTCCTCAACTTTCATGTCTAGGTTACTAGGAGGGCCACAACTCAAGGGAGCACCACCTGGCCGTGGTCTTCCATGTGGCCTGCAGAGCTGTGCCCTTCTGATGAGTAGTTGTCACTCATCCTTGGTGCCTGCTCCACCAAGCGGTTTAGCAGCCAATGCTAAGCTCACAAGAACCAAAAGCAAACCAGCTGCCATTGAGTCAGTTCTGACCATGGTAACCCCATGTGTGTCAGAATTGTGTTCCATAGGGTTTTTTGGAAGTAGATTGTCAGGCTTTGCTTCTGAGGTGGCTCTGGGTAAACTTGAACCTTCAACCTTTTGGTTAGCAGCCAAGTGTGTTAACTGGTTGGGGTACCCAGGGACTCCCCATTTTCCCAAATGGCTTCTCATCACTGGCCTCCTAGAGCAGGGCATAAGACAGCAAAAAGAAATGGACTTCTGGGTTCCCTATGGCAAGACTCCTTTAGCAAGAGACCCTGGGGCTCTGGGCAGGTTTGTGATTGTACACTGGTGCTCTGGCTTTTGACTGGCCCTCTGAAGCTGGGGAGACAGGAGAGCGACTGCCTGGCCCCGTGGCCCCTGGCAGTCCCAAGCCTGTGCTCTCATTAGTCCATCTCCCTGCCAAGTTCCCTCGCATGTGTCTCTGCCTCCTCTTGCCTCCTCCAGGAAGTCTTGCTTGATTGCCCAATCAAGAAAAGTCATAGATTTTGACTCAGGCACCCAGAGCCAATTTCTGGCTCTCTTATTGGCTGTGTAATGTCTTCTGAGTTCCTTCACTCTTTGATCCCCTTTCTGTGAAATGGGCCAAGCAAGGAGGGAAGGGCACTTGACATAAACTAAGTACCAAAGCACATGTTTTGTCTCTTATTTAACCCCCCACTCCCTCCAGTCACGCTTAGGAAGATGTTGTTGTTGTTGCTGCTGCTGAGTTGGCTTTGACTCAGGGCGACCCCACGTACAGTGGACAAAACATTTCCTGGTCTTGTGCCATCTTCGCAATGACTGCCATGCTGCAGTCCACTGTTGTGGCCACCGTGCCTTTTGAGTGTCTTCCAAGCCTGCGGGCCCATCTTCCAGCACCATACCTGACAAAGTTCTGTTGGGATCCACAGGGTTTTCTCTGGCTGATTTTCAAAAGTAGATCACCAGGCCTTTCTTCCTACTCTGTTTTGGTCTGGAAGCTCCTCTGAAACCTGTCCACCACAGGTGACTGCTAATATCTGAAATACGGGCAGCACAGCCTCCAGCATCATGGCCCCACAGTACAATTAACTGACAGATGGGTTGTGGGATAGGAAGACAAGGGCATTTGTTTCTCAAAAGAAAGCAGTGGGACTCTTGAAAGTAGAGTCACACAGCTGGAAAGTGGGAGACCCAGGATGTAGAACCACAGCTGTCTTCCCTGAAACCTTCCTCCTGTCACTATTTTGGGGGCTATTGGTGTTTGAAGGACAGTCAATAGTCCTACAGATGCCCAGCTGAGAGGCAGACACAAGGTCAGCTGGATAGAGATCAATGATGGTTCTACCCTTAATAGGGGCCACATTGGAGGACACAGCCTCTGGGTCTGCAGATGAGGAGGAGCCTTCCTCCTGTCACACCCAGAATGACCTTGACCCACCAGACACAGCAGAGTGGAAAATGACGGAACCTTCTCTATCTGTTCCCATTCCTGTTTCCCCTGCCATGGGAGTCTGCCCAGATTAAATCAACAGCATAGGGATTTAGGGGGGAAAAAAAGGATGCTGGGCTTCTGCAGGCAGGCTGGCTCTGATGAGGTGGAGGAGGGATGTTGGGGGGCTGCAGAAACCAAGTCCACTTCCCTCTTCTGAACTCTCTATCAGATAAGCACTCTCCTCTCCCCAACAAGGAAGATTAAGAGGAAAGGTGAATATAATGATACTCAGTTGGGATTGTTGTCAATTACCACTGAGTCGGCTCCAATTCATGGTGACCTTGTATGTAACAGACCCAACGTTGCCTGGTTCTCCATCATCTTCATGATATTATTAGTATTTGTGAGTCCATTGCTGTGGCTATCTAACCATCTCACTGAGGGTTTCCTGCACCTTTGACAGCTGTCTACTTTTCAACCATGATGTCCTTTTCTGGTGATTGGTCTTTCCTGATGGTGTGTCCAAAGTAAGCGAGCCCACGTCTCTCCACCCTCACCTCTCAGGAGCTTCTGAGGTTGACACACGGGAGATGCTTAATGTTACCTTCTTCCCCTGCTCTTTCTTTCTCATCAGTATCATTGCTTCTCTGATGTGGTTGCAGAGAAAGTGGCAGGGCTGACTCCAAGATGGCCTTGAACCATGGCCCACTGTCAATTACCAGAGCCATGTTCCCCTCTGCTTGCTCCCAGACATGGGATAACGCTCTTTCTCTATTTGACCTTGACGTAGGGCTTGGTCATTGAGCGCCTAGGACGGAGACCACTCCTGATTGGCGGCTTCGGGCTGATGGCCATCTTCTTTGGAATCCTCACCATCACACTGACACTGCAGGTAAGAGGGTGTCCTGTCACACCTGGATGGAAATGAGTAGCCAGCAGGCTTCCCAGTCTTGGTGCTGTGGACCCTTCAGCCTGGGGGTCCTACATCTATAGACCCCTTTCTGATATGTTTTTCCTAAGGGCATCTCAGCTCTGGGTCGCTGGTGCCCTCAGGAAAGAAGGTTGGAGGAATGAGTCTTTCCACTGGGAGGCAAGAAACTTACCTTCTGGTCCTGTCACTGCCATCGATGAGGAGACCCCCTCACTCGGAGCCTCAGATTACCTATCAATGGGACAGAGGACACTGTACCAGGTGACTCCTGAGATGTCCTTTCCAGCTCTCACATTCCAGCCCAGGGTTGAGAGGGCTTGGGAGGCAGCCTGGGTCTGGTACTGCCCTACTGTTGTTATGTGCCGTCGAGTGGGGCCTGACTCATAGTGACCACTCCTTGCGTTTCCAAGGCGGTATCACTACAGAAGTAGATTGCCCAACCTTCCTTCCAAGGAGTGACTAATAGGTTTGAACCGCCAGCCTTCTGGTTAGCAGTCAAGTGCCTTAGGCATTTTATTTATGATTGTGACACCTTTGCCTGGTTTGATACCTGGTTTACCCAGGCACTCACTATGAGATTTTGGGCAAGTCACTCAAGCTTTCTGCTCCTCAGATCCCCATCTCTAAATGGGGCACAGTAGTTGCCATCTCCAGAAGTGTTAACAGGATGAAATGATAGAATGCATTGACAGTACTGGAGCAGTCCCTGCAAGTAGCAAGTGCTTAGTGAATGTGTGTGTGTGCATGTGTGTGTTTTGGAGGGGGCAGTCAGTAATCCTTAGGAAATGGGTATTTTTTCCTTCTATGAAGAAGAGGAAACTGAGGAGTAACAAGAAATGTATAAAGTGCCCAAGTTTGACAGCAAGTAAATGGCAGAGCTGGAATTAGACCCCAGGATCCCAGGGTTCCAAGGCCCATATTTTTCCCCCTGCCCCTCTGCAGTGCTCAGGATGACCCATGTTCAGTGAATGTCTACTCAGTGTCTCACACTCACCTCAACCCAAAGACGCATGAAGCAAGATCCCAGCAGTCAATAGTCTCCAGGTCTTTCAAAACCTAATCTCTAAATGGAACATGGTATTTTTTTAGTGTCCTGGTGGTGCAGTGGTTAAAGCACTTGTCTGCTAATGGAAAAGTCAGCAGTCTGAAACCACCAGTCCCTCTGTAGGAGAGAGATGTGACAATCTGCTTCTGTAAAGATTGACAGTCTTGGAAACTCTGTGGGGCAGTTCTATTCTGCTCCCGTGGGGTGCTGTGGGTCAGAATCGACTCAAAGGCAGTGAATTTGGTTTAGGTTTTTGGCCAAATGCCTCAGTGTCCCAAATATTTCTAGAAGGTGACCTTGTCATGATGTCATCTGATGAATAGGAGCCACCCTCCAAACAGGAGTTCTGGGCATGCTGACCAGGAGCATGGAGAAAATATCTCTCTTGTGGGCAATGTGCAGACTGAAACTTTCCTTCCCAAGACCTGACTTGGACCTGGGCACTGGTGGTTCTACAGGCCCCTTGGGTTGACTGAGCTCAGGTCTTAAAAGTTCCTGGGAAGCCTAGTGGTGACATTTCAGGGCATTGTCTTTCTGTGGCTGTGGTCACATGTCCAAAAGGGCAGCCTGGAGCATATGAGCTCATCTGAAAAAAAGTTGCCATCAGGTTGCTCCTGCCTCATGGAGACCCCATGTCAGAGTAGCACTGCACTGCACTGCACAAGGTTTTCATGGATGGAACCTTTCAGAACATGTTGCCAGACCTTTCTACAAGCACCTTTGGGGGGGCTCGAACCTCCAAACTCTCCATTAGGATTTGAGGTCTTAACCACTTGCCCCATCCAGGGACTCTATGGAGGCCTCAGTTAACAAGGTTATGGAGCCCTTCACCTCCTGGCCCACATCCTGCCCTGCTCTTCAAGATGTCTCATGTTGATCTCTTTTTCCCCTTCGTCCCTCTGCTCCACTAGCTTCTCCCTACAGTCCAGACTCAGGAAGCCTGGGATACCTCTTGGATACCTCTTCCTCCAGGAAGCCTCCTTTGTCACCAAGTATAGGGGAGGTGCCCTCCTCTGTGTTCCCATGGACACCCTGTGATGTCACCCATCACAGACCACCAGTGTTCTCCATGACCCCTTTTTTTCCCAATAGACAATGAGTTCTGGGGGGTAAAGGTCATGTCTGTACTATCTCTGCATTCTGCCCTCTCAGCCCAGTGCTGGTCCCAGCAGGAATCCAGAACCATCTGCCAAGTGAATGAATGAATGACTTAGTGCAGAAGTAAGCCGTGCAGTGTACAAGGACCCGTGAAGCTCACTTCACCCCCAGAGCCTCCTGCAGGAAGATCTGCTCCGCTTTGGCACAAAGGGCCGAGGAAGGCAGTTCCTCTGTTCCCCTGGCACCCCACAGTGAGCTCTCAGCAATTCCCCCAGGCACCCACCAGCTCTCTCTTGCCTCTGTGCCCTTGCCTGGGCTGAGCCTCTCTCTGGATCCCCTTTCCCTTCCTTCCCCACTTGGCTGATACCAGCTCTGTCTTCAAATGTGGGAGCGGGCTCCTCCAGAAAGCTTTCCTGGCTCTCCCTAGATTGGGTTAGATGCCCTCCTGGGGCACCCTCCGGTACCCAACACACACTCACCCGATCAAAGTGCTGGGACGCCATGCATAGGATCCCATCTGCTGTTTCCTAAATGTCCCGCACTGAGCACCCGCCCTCCCGCCAAACAAGTGGCTTGCTTTTGTTGTGAGGTGGGAATTCTACCACTGAACCACCAATGTCCCTCCAAGCAAGTGGCAGTCCCCCCCAAATTACTTATTGAAGTGAATTAACATAGCTCTTGCCTCATCAGGAGGGCAAGGGTGGAAAAACGGGGGAGCTATTAATAATGATGACTAAGAGAAATTTTTTTAATTAAATGATGCCTATAAAAACTTCTCAAATTGCCTGCTGCAGAATCATCCCTCAATCGATGTGAGCTACTTATTTATTTATCACCTGCTGTAGGCATGGCACTAAATTCTTTGAGCTATGATCACATTTAATCCTTATATCTGTAATACCTCCAACTCATAGCCACACTATAGGACAGAGTAGAACTGCCCTGTAGGGTTTCTGGGTCTGCAAGCAGAGAGAATGAATGACTTAGGGGTAATCATTATCTCCATTTCACGAAAGTGGAAATTGAGGCTCAGCAGTGTAACGTGACCTGTCTAAGGTCATGCAGATGAATGGAGGTGAAGCTGTGGTGGGATCCCAGGCCTCAGGATGAACTACTGCATCCTCACCCGCTCACCTTGCTGCTTTCTCACAGGACCGCGCCACCTGGATCCCTTACCTGAGCATCGTGGGCATCCTGGCTGTCATCGCCTCCTTCTGCAGTGGGCCAGGTAAGGTGCCTCCACTTCCTCACCGTGAGCCTAGGGGCTCAGAGGACCACGTGAAGCAAAATCTTGTTGTACAGATGAGGAGCCTGTGGTCAAAGGAGGCCAAAGGCCTGAGTGGAGGGCACGGTTCTCAATCTTCCCTTTGGTCCCATTTAAATGCAGTTGACTCTCTGCTTTCACTTCCAACTTTGGAGGGTAGGTGATATGCTCACCTAATGAGAGATAATACCATTTAACAATAATTTCACAATCTCAGTGATCCTAACAATGAACACGAGGAGCTATGCGCCAGATACTGCACTAGTTTGTGAGAATCAATGACAAACAATTTATACTCTCTCCCCCTCAAGTTACAGTTTAATGTGGAAAATCTAATAACAGTAATCAAGTTGTTGTGCAGTTGCCATCAAGTCAACTCTGACTCACAGAGACCCCATGTGTGCAGAGTGGAACTGTCCCATAGGGTTTTCAAGGCTGTGACTTTTCAGAGGCAGATCACAAGGCCTTTCTTCTGAGGACCTCAGAGTGGGTTTGAACCACCAACCTTTTTGTTCATAGGCAAGATCTTAACCATTGTACCACTCAAGGCCCCTAATAACAATTTTTATGTCTAAGATTTGCCAAGCACTGGTTATGCATTAACCATGTTAACCTTGTGTTAACTCATTCAACGCTCATACAACTCGAGGGAATGCTGACATGGGAGGTGATTTGCCTGGGGTCAGCGAATGACTAGGTAGGTGGTGCAACCTCCTAGGCACAGGCTCCTACCCACCACGCTACCTGGTATCTCTGTGGGTGTGGAGTCTAGAGTATTTTAAGCCCCAATCTTGGTGTTGTTCTCCACCCAGGACTCACCGCTAGCCCCAGTTCTGCCATTTCCTAACTGTGTGTCAATGAGTCTTCTCCTGTCTTGGACTTCCATTTCCCCATCTGTGAAATGGTGACTGTGGAATGTGACTGAGGTCACTGATGTTCCCTGGCTCCATTTGTGTGTCCAGCAGGGCCTCCTCCATCAGAGGCAAAGGTGTGTGGGGTTAAGGAGGTGAGTGCAAGGTGAGCAGTCTGGCATGGAGTTTAGCTCTCTCCTTGAGATGTGCTTATGGTTCTTGGTTTTAGTTTCACGTTGATGAAAGCACATTAAGTTTTTATATTGGATCAAACAGACCAAACTGCTAATTCTTCCTCTGCATTGCTGATTTTAATAGGCCACCATGTTCCATGTTCTGTCACATTTATGATGGATGAAAAACCTTTGTTCCCATCGGGGACGTCAAGATGTTATATTGAGATGCTGTGGGTGGGAGGTGTAATGATATGGGGAAGGGTCCATAGGTGCACGTACATGCACATACACACAAACTTGGCTTTGACCATGATCAGACAGCCATAGAAAGAAGAATGCCCCTTCTCAGGTGGAATAGCAAACTAACAGGAAGATGAGCTAGGAGAACATATTGCAGCTGTCAATAGAGTAAAGGAACTAAAAAGTGTTGAACTTTATAGGCCTCTGCATTGTCAACTCCAGAGGCAACATTTACATCATGTCCATGTAATTGGTGCTCTTGAGGTGTGAAGCCAGTGGCCCTGTACTGGGCCTAGCCCTCCAGAAAGGTATGTCCAAGTCCTGACCTGCAATACTGGTGAATGGGACCTTATTTGGAAACAAGATCTTTGCAGCTATAATTAAACTAAGAATTTTGAGATGAGGGTATCCTGGATTGAGGATGGGCCCTAAATCCAATGACTGATGTCTATACAAAAGAGGAGAGAACTACCATGTGATCCAGCTATCCCAGGCCTAGGTCTAGTTTAACATATGAGGTCTCTTTTTTAAGCATGCAGGGTATACTTACATAAAATGTGTTGTTTTATTCATGAGACATCTCCATTTTATACTCTGATCATTACGTCACTGACACTAACATTTCACATAGGGCTACCCCCATGCCTATAAATTCCAGTTGACCATCCAAAAAAAAGATGAAACCCATTGTCATCAAGTCAATTCCAATTCATAGCAACTCTATAGGGCAGAGTAGAGCTGCTTCATAAGATTTTCTAAGCTGTAATCTTTAAGGTGGCAGATCTCCAGGTCTTGTCTTCTGTGGAGCCACTGGGTGGGTTTGAACCACAAACTTTTTGGTTAGCACCCAAGCACTTAATCATTATGCCACCCAAAACAAATGCAAACAACAAAACCCATTGTTGTTAAGTGGATTCCAACTCATAGCGGCCCTATAGGACAGGGTAGAACTGCTCAATAGGGTTTCCAAGGGGGTGATCATTATGGACACATACTTCCACATCTTTTTCCCACAGAGTGGCTGGTGGGTTTGAACCAGCAATCTTTTGGTTAGCAGATCAGTGCTTTAACCACTGCACCAGAGCTCAAAATTGACCATAAGCAATCTAAACAGACCAGGTATAGCTCACTAAAAGCATTCTATACATAAAAGCTCTCACTTATTTTTCTGGTAATAAATACCAGCATGAGGTTAGATTAGCATCAAGTTTATAAGAAGAGGAGCCAGGATAATTCTTCTTCCCTTCCTTCCTTCCTTCCTCCCTCCCTCCCTC